ACAGTTATTTTTTTCTCTTGTGAATATGTCTCTGAGTGGAGACATGAAATGGCAATGCAGGGCTTCTTCCTTCTGATGCTGTGTTTAGCTCAGAATGCTCATAGCACCACATAGGTCTTCAAGCTGAAAGCCGTATATTCTCATTAAATAATAGAAATTGGTGTATGGTGCTCATTTCTCCTTGTTTTCAGCTCTAAGTTCATGTTAAAAATATGATACACTACTGTCTTCCTAATGTCACCTAAACAGCTCAGTTGCTGTAGCTGGATAAAATCACCAATAGGAAAAAATCTACCATTCATCACTTTGCCTCATACTTTCCACATCCCTTTTGAGATGCCTCTGTGCAAATGGAATGTTTGAATACTTCAAACTTTAAATAAGTAGTGTGTATTTTGTCATATGCTAATAACATAAATATCTCCATTTTCACTTGTGCCCACCACTCTTGCCATTCCTGTATGCCACCAGGTCTTTTTCTCCTGAGTAATAGGTGGGTCAAGGACAGCCACAAGCTCTTAGCATATTGGATACACTAAAATATACAGACTGAATCCGAGTGATAAACCCAATGATGTAATGTGCTTCATTAAATTTATTAGTTCAGGCTATAAGGGGGGTACCACTAGACTTTTAATGTGTTATTGGTTATCTGATATGGAATGAGAAAGAATTTAAGATCAAAATACATGGCATGATACTGGAAAAAGCCTACAAAAATAACAATGCAGGCATACAAATCTTCAAAACCATCATGGGGATACATGTATATTGGAGAGTGACAGCACTCTTGTCTCTTCCACATGTTAGAAATGGAGACAATAAATCTAGTCTCAGTAAAAATGCTATTTAATACAACCTCTGTCTCAGTATTGTCCCTTGAAATGTGTTCTTTACTTAAAAGATTGTTTTTACTACATCTGAGGCTGTACACATTTCTTGTATTTATCATGGTTATTTCATAGGAATGAGATTTTATGTAGAAATTTTTAAGGTGAAATTTTGAATATGAATACTCAACTGGTGCAAGAAATTATTCTTAAATTTTGCTATTACGAGTTCCTCCTGGAAGATACAATCAAGTTTGTTAGGTTCAAATAGTTGTGATAGAAAACAATATTTTTAAGCATCTACACACTAGGGACTTCAAATGGAGGAAAAAAATCTATCTAGTCTATTCCAAAAGTGCTATTTCATTGTGTGACAGTCTGCTTGCTTTATTTATATTCTGAAATACTTTCACATTGAAATACTTTGTAAAAATATGCTAAATAAAACAACATATATTTAATCCTGTATCTACAGCTTTCTGGGACAGAATATAGGCTGTTTAACATGATCATTCTTTCGTATTTTTATTTGTCTTCCTTTTAAAAATCTTTCTCCTCCTACCTCCTCCTTTTTTTCTCAGTATACTATTTGTGTTTTAGAAGATGCTGAATAATTTTTGTCTTTTTCCAAATCATAAAAACCTTTAGCAATTTTAATGCTGTTTTTCAGAAAAAAAACAAAACAAACAAAAAAAAAAAAAAAAACAAAACCAAAACCAACCAAACAAAAAAACCCCACAAACAAAAACCAACCAAACAACCAAACAAAAAAACCCAACACTCATGGTTACCAATATTTGTCTTTTTTGACTCATGTTGCATCTTTGCTGTATATAAGCAGGATTGCTATTAATCTGCTATTCACTGTCTAAATGAAGAACTGATACTACTATGTTTAGTCTGAGCTTTTATCATGTTATGGCCAAATGTTTTAAAGCTAGGTCGGGTATTTTTGTACTACTATGTGCTGTAGAGATGTCCTCAGAATGGTTCTTAGTGGAGGCCTTACACCTGCTAGACCAAGCTTTTTGTCACTATCTGGCATACACAGTATATTGTGTCCATGCTTTGTGATTGTTTTCCCCCAGATAGAAGATAGACACTTCTTAGTTTCATGTATTGCTTTAACTTGGCCTTATATCTGCGAATACACTGGAAGATATGTTTCTATGAGGACAACACATATTGTTTTATTCATCAAACATCTAAGAGGGTTAGAAGTTGCCAAATTTTCCATCAGGAATTAAAATGTCTGTCTTTGGCTCCTACTTGAAACGCACAGTATCACTGCTAGATGATTAAAGATTTCCTAATCCTAATATATCTTCCTCTGTGGTAGGAGATTTGAATAGATATTGTAAAAATTACACATTCATCCAATGATTCATTAGATGAGACTTTAAAACCCTGTGCATCTCTTTATTCCTTTATTTTTGCAAAGTTGTATTTGTGTATTTATATTTTCTGCATTGAATATTTTAAACGATTGGTGTCCTTTCTAATCTGATTAAGATAGTTTACAACTGTTGTTAAATACTCAGACAGATGTATTAGCACAATAATCCTAGCTTAACTCAGTTTACAAATATCTATATGTTAATGATTAAAACTATATATATATATATTTAACTATATTCAAAGGAAAACTTTAGAAAGGTAAGGGTAAGTAAATATTATTTATTTATTTATTTTATTTTTAGGTATTTAATGCCATCAGTATATATAATATGCTTACACTGGCAATGTACCTTTTTTGACAGAAAGTTTGGATCCACATCTAAACTATTGTAACATATATCATTATCTGTCTTAGAATGTGGTGGATGCAAAAATATTTCCTTCGTTCAAATATGTGGGAATTTTGCCCATTATTTTAATTTATTATTTGTCTTAGTTCAATTTATTAATTCAAGAAGTTTAATTCTTGTATTTATTACCGTGACTTCAAGGCTTTTTTTCTGCTGGAAGACTGTCTGGACTGTCTTTGCACACAGATCTCAGCTGAGTGAACAGCTTCTGATTCAGATAATGCATGAATAAGAATGTAATGAATATGCCATGAAAGGAGATCAAAGAATCATAACTGTGTTTATTCTTAAACTTGGTGACAAAGCAGTAGATCTAAAATGGTTAATATTGATTACCCAGTTGCTCTCATTTTTCTTCGTAAAAGATAAGGGTTTTTTCCCAAAACATTTCTGAAAGGAGAACTGAAGAGATCTTGGGGATTTGGGAAAGTCATACTGAAGGGAGGTGCTAGACTGCCCATGAAGAATTGAACAAGATTTAAAAAAAAAAAAAAAAAAAATTAAAGAATTGTAAGAAAATACCATAACAGATATGGTATTACAGTTATTTTTACTCTTAAGTTGTTGTGCAATCTAAATTAAGTATGAATATTAGAATCTTTTGCAAAGTCTCCTGATTTGTTTTAACTTCTGTGTTTTTCCGAAGAGGCAGCTTCAAAACCAGTGCCTAGAAATCTGGAACCACAGGAATAAGGTTTATCTCACTGCAAAAGATGTTACGAAACACTGTTCATTCGCAGTACCCCTCCTTTCTCTTCTTCAAAACTGTCAGTTTCATAGATGTTATCTTCTTTTACAGGCTTTCAAATAATCAGTGGGCTGTTTGGAAAAATGTGCCAGTATGCAGTGCTGCCAGTGCCTATTAGATGCCATGTGAGCATTTAAAGGTGTTTTGCTATTTAGGGTCTTATCTGCATAATGGAATATAGGGGGGTTTGTTTGGTTAGTTTGTTGTTATTTTTAACAATATATATGATTTACATCTGGATGATCAAGCTGAAATCTCAGAATTCTTATGCATGGTTCTGGAAGCCTGGCAGCATGGCATTGTGGAAACAGACATATCTTTTCACACATGAATGACTAAGTAGTCTTGTAACTGCAGTGGTAAAAGTGCAGCAATGCAAATGTGCGGTATGAGATGTGCATTGGAAAAGAATTAGGCCGTCATAGGTTCATATTTCCATAACTTAATGAACATACTGTGAAATCAAGTGGTGTAACTGATATGCTCACTTTTTAGCCCAAACACAAGATTTGGAGGGCTGTATCTTATAATATTTGTTTTATGAAAAATGTCCCTTTTTTTTTTTTTTTTTTTTTTTTTGTAAAACAAACATGAACATATTTACATGCTCTTTTACATCCTTTTTATTGAGGCCAAAGTTATTACAGTAGTTTAGAAAAAATATCTTGACAAAAATAAGTTAAGCAATTTATAGTTTTAAATAGGAACTATGTGTATACTACTAACTTTCATTTTTAGAAAAATAGAATACTTTATCTTGACATGATAGTAGATCCTCAAAGTATTTGATAGAAATTGACTTTGCTAATGTGTTGTTCTTCTCTTGAAAGAGTAGTTTTCAATTCTTTGAAGCATCTCTCTGGTTTGTGCATGGATCTCTTGCCAAGTGCACTGATCATTTGACTGTGAAGAGTATTAAAAAGTGTTATTAGCTATTTTGTAAAAAATGACATTCAATATTATGGTAAGCGAAATGTGAATTGAGAACAAGCATGTAAAAATTTATTAAAAATAAATTTAAGAAAAAATTAAGAATAATTTTAGGAAGCCTAGTTAAGAATCAAATGTTCTTTGGTATATAAAGTGATTATTGTTTTTTCAGGTAAAAAAGCTTCAAATGCATGGCTGATCCTGACCCATGTGATGAAAAGTGTTTCTAAAAAGGCACAGACTGACATGGATTTTGGTGCTGAATTAAAAATAAATGTTTTTTAAAAGCCTGTGATGATACATTGACCTTGAAATGGATGTGGGTCAAGAGACTTTGTGTGAGTGAAAATCTGTAGTGTTTGATAATGTGGCACAGTTCCACAGATTCACACAGCTTTGATCAGCAGTGGGACTGCTTGTATAGGAAGCTGTTCTGTATCTTTAAAATTCCTTTAAGCGAGATGAAAGTAAAAAAAACAGCCTACTTACCCTGGCCACAAATTTATCCATTTTTTGGAAGCAGCCTTTCACTGTAGATTCGTGGATAATATTAAGTCTGGGCTTCAGCTGTTATTTTAATGGAAAAGAAAACGAACTATTAATTTGAACAGTGACAAGTAAATAGAAGTTCAGCATGACTCAGTAAAACTGTACCCTCTAATAGACATGGTCATGACTGAGAGAGGGCTGTAATGCTTTTGTCATATGCAAGCCAGCTGAATGTGTTAAAGATAGTGTAGCACATATTTGTTATGTCTACAGAGAGATCGGGAAATGAATATATCGATGTTTAAAGCAAGGTAAGGGGTCTATGGGGTTTTTTTGTTCTGTGACTATACTGATTTTGTTTATGTATACTGTCTTTGAAGGAAACATTTCAGAATAATTGGTGGTCATTTGACATACAATGTTCTGGATATACCTATGTGATCATGTTCTTTCATTTAAAAAAAAAAAAAAAAAGTGTTTAAGTAAACACTTATTATCCTGGGGTCTGGCCTAATTAGAGGCAGCAGTGTGGTTTTGGAGCTCAGTGTTTATATGCTACTTCTCAGACCTATGTCCGGGCATGGAAACCTCTCTCTCCTGCAGAAAAGTGCAGTGGGTTTCCTCCACAGAAGCACAGAAGGGTATATTACAGTGTACATTTTTATGCCCAGGTTTGTTAGCAAATCTGGTGGCTGGCACAGGCATTAGTTGCAAGGCAAGCTACAGTAAATCTGAGGTTTTGTCCTCTGTAAATCTTAAACTGACCCCAACTGAATGAACTATTTGCTCATATGTTTAAGTAGTTTACTCAGCTGAAATAGGCTGAATGCAGATCTAATTATTTTTCTGAAGTGTTTTTGCATACAATTTGCATGTAATTCTTTATGTTAGCTTGTCTTAACAGAAGCCATAAGTAGTTGAAGAAAAGCACATGAAATTTATAGTGAGAATAATAGATACTTCTGTGTAGAACTAGTTCAATCTTTAAGAAGCAAGTTAAATACTGACTTTGCCACATTTTTAGGCATCACATTTCAAAGTAAGCCCACAAATATATATGTCTGTATCATATTAAAACTGCCTGTATAATACAGGTCAGTAAAAATGCTGAAAGTTGCCTGTCATTAGTAGTGTACAGATGTTTTAGGTGCCATTATATGAAAATGTAGTCTTTAAAGTTTTCTATTGTATTTTTAGCATATGTATTATCAGTTTTATTCACCATTAATATCTGATGTGAATATCATGCAGTGTAAAAAAACAAAACAAAACAAAACAAAAACCTGTACTTACACAAGTCTTGAGCTGGGCATGAGTTTCATACATTCCTCTTAGAAAAACATTCTTATTTTGAAAAGGAGAGTCTTCTCTCCTGAAAAACTCAGCAATTTCATGCACTATATGAACAATGGCTGCATTATCATATTTAACCTGTGATGACAAAAAGCAGTTATAGACAAATTTGGTTTCTGAAGTTTGCACTTAAGTTTCAGTTAATGACACATTTTTCAACTGAGTTTGGTTATTGTACAATTTTCATGACTTCCTTGTGCTTTTCTAACTTTTTAAGTACAAAATTATAGAAAGTAATATACATTGAAAATATGGTATTTATTTGAAAATTGGGAATTGGATGTGCAATGTCCAGTTTCAATTTTTGCTTTCATAAGGTGGACCCTATTTTGTAATGTAAATATATCTTACATTTTTGGACTACATATTGATATTCTTGGGTATATACAATGTATGAAGGATAGTCAATAAGAGGCCAAAGGTCAAAAGCAGATCTTTTGAATTCAGACCCAAGACAATAGACTAAGAGTGTGCAGCATTTTCCTAACAAGCACAGTACATATCTGATGAAGGGGAGCTCCCTCTGTCTTAGAGAAGATGGAAATACAAGAGAGATTGATAATTCTGTCTGTCCCTTTTGTTCCCTGCTTGTGTTATAGAAGCTCTGTCGAAGAGATGTTCTGGAAGTGGGCTGAATGAATTGCTTTGGTGCAGTAGCACACTTTCAGCCCAGTACCTTCTTATTTTGTGGCATTGAAGACCTGGAATGAAAGTGAGCTGTGCAGATGAAGTGCATGTGTGTGCTGAGTTAGTACATAAAATTACCTCTGCACTACTTTTATGGGGTCTGATTCTGTCTGAAACTGAAGTCGCCATGCTGTTCTGGTATTTTCCAGGCTACCAGACTGATTCCAATTAATTTTCCACTTTAAACAGCAGGACTAACAAAAAAAGCATCTAACCCTTTCCTTGTAAAAGTGGCATCAGAACTGAAATAATAAGAAAAGCAAGAAAATGGCAATTTCCATAAGTAACCTCTCAGGGAAAAGAATTTAGGCTGAAAAGTCAACAGTCAGATTTATCATTTAAACCTGTAATTGAGTATGTCATAATTCCAATGTAAAAGTCTTGTGACAAGGTGCATAGGCTGTGTGATGTAGATTTGGTAACATAATGTCAAGTATATATCTTTTTCTACTTACTGCTTTTAGCATCTGCTCAGGAAAACACAAATCCTCGTTGCTCACTTCCTCACACTCCAAAGAAAAGCCCCTCTTGTTCTTAAAGAAAACAACAGTGTAGAAATTTTAAGCATGTGCAAAACCAGGTTTATTATGGAAACAATTAATAGAAGAGTTCACTTATCAGTTGGTCTCTTAACAATGAAGTATATGAATGACTACATCAATAGGGGATACTATATATCTCATGAGGTTGTGTGAAGGTTTGCTTATATGTTCCCAAGGCTACCTAATATGGAAGAAATAGCTGCTTGTTACCTATTTTAACATTTCTCAAATGTTCCAGTGAGCTCAGTCTGTACAGTGTTGAGGAAAGGGCAGGATGTAAAAGAAGCTAAATTGGGAAAAGAAACATGATTTCCATATAGTTGATTTCCAAAAACACCTTCAGAAAGTATTTGTACCAAAAACTTTGTGACTGTGGATGCTCTTTTCTTTCAGTGAGATTATGTCATGGTAAAGTAAATTATGGAGTTACGGTTTCAGCTGATGACAATTAGTGGGAATCCCAGATGACTGTGGACTCTAAAATATGTGACTTCTGTGTGTGTATAGGATGTGGAGCTCTTGGTAAGACACAAAATTGTCATATATTCAACAGGATGAGTTTGAATTAAAAAATCTAAATTTAATATTTTTGGCTTTGTAGAGATGGGACATCTGGCTCATGATTTTTTAATAATGTAAAAAAATTGTAATCAGGCACTTATTACATATTTGAGAATTCCTTACACTTAAATGAAGAAAGATGGAAAATGACATCTATAGATTGTGACAGTATTTTACACATTGACTTACCAGTTTCTCAATCTCCTTTAAAAGCTCACTCCACTGCACACTTTCAAAGCACTGATGACTGTTGCTTTGGTGATTACAAAGGGATGTAGCAATAAGGCAGACAGCTAAGAGAAAGAAGCAGCTCCTGGGGCAATACATTGTCTAGTTCTGGAATAAGAAGACAGAAAGCTTAATAGATTTAGGATGGTTTTACAGTTTTGTATAGTCACACAAGCACAGTTGATTATTTGCCACTGCTTGTTCACTTTTATTCTGTATTTACTGATGTGTTGTGACAGGCCTAATGAGTTCAGATTTTATGATGGAACATTTGAAAGTTAAATATGTTTATCCAATCTATAAGAAAAAAAAAATCATGTAAGAAAGCCTTTTTTATACTATTCATATAATATGCAAATTGTTGTATGTATTTTTAAAAAATCCTGTTCTGATTTTCTGAAATGCTTATTTTCCCACTGTTTTTTAATGGATAAATACATACAGTATTTAGAAAACTGACATTATTTGCTATAGAAATTTGAGTAAATGTGAACTATTGCCTACTAAATAATGAGTTAAAAAATAGGTTGTTTTTTTTTTTTCCCAGAAGTTCACTCTGTAGTAATGCCTGTAAACTTGTTACATGTAACTCATAACATGATTTAAAGCAATGACTTCTAAAAGTAAGGTTATATTTTAGTAAGATTTTTTTTTCATAAAACTTATTTGACATTACAGTAATAAAGTAAAAAGTAAAAATGAAATAAGTAAATTAATCTCGTCTAGAAAAATTAGCAATAAAATCAAAGAAGCCCACCTTGTGGATAATATTCAGCTCCTGATTACACACTTCTGCAGGGCTCCTGGGTACCATTCTGTCAGCTATCTCAGTCCCTTTTAAATGCTCTTCTCCCGCTTTTACAAATCCCTGACCACCTCCTCTCAGTGGATGATGCAAAGTGAAACTTTCTTCTTTCAGTATTCCATCTCTTCAGGTATGCTGATTTCCAGGCAATAGAGAGGCATAGAGTGGGTGGCATAGAGGGTGGTGTGTGGATGGCACAGAGGTCACATTTTAAAGTTTTTATTTAAAAAGATAAAATTTAGATGACTGAAGTATGTAGAACAAAATGTTAATGTTTATTTTACATGATTTTACAACAATTTTACATTTAACAGTTTGTAAATATTCACATACAGGTGATAAAATATAGAACACTTCTTCAATGTGAACAATTATTGTCTTCTGTATTTACATTATGTATATAGAATTTCATATAACTTACTCCATGTGATTTATACATCTGTAAGTATTATTGAACATAACAGTAAAAAAGTTTAACTGTACTCATTCTATGAACATCAAACTTTATAGTTCTATAAGTATTATATTTACTTCCAAATGTAAAATACAAACTTATGTGTATGCATGCATACATGTCATACACATACACACGTTACTTCCCCAAGTCATGTCAGGTACTATGAAGTAATCAAGCCTAAGTTTTTCATCGACTGTGGGTTGGAGGTACTGAAGAGAATTAAATTCCAGGAGAGCTAATCCCTACCAGATTAGAAAATGTCTTACTATTAATAATATTATATTTTCATTAAATTTTCTCCCTGGAGCTTTTAAATCCCATTAAAACTGAAAGTAACTCTAGCATCCAAATGTACTGGTCTTGTTACTTCATATCTGCCTGAGCCCCTTCACGTTACCGCCTAGTTTCTCTGTGATAGTTTGTCCAAATGTTAAGTACTGTATTACTTGCAGACAGAAAGGATTTTGCACCAGTTTTTAAAAGTTTTTTCCAGATGGCTTGGTTTGTAGTTTTAAAAGTCCTTAGGTATCTAACATCCAACTTCTGGAAAGCTCATTAAGATCATATTTGTGTCTTACATATGTAACATTTTGTCAATTTGTCCCTTTGCAGAATACCTCCACATCTTTAATAATTTTACTTTACTAATGGTAGTGGATGTCTATTCTCTACATGCCA